GAAAGGCAGCATACTCGCAATGAAATTGTTGCAAACTCGATGCTTTCAACCGAACTAACGATGACAGGCACGTTGTTGTTGTTGTTATTGAGGTTGCTGCTATTGTTGTTACACTAGTACAGAGGCAGAGGCTATGGCATAATGAAAACAACTACAACAATTACTTAGTTTAGTCATTCTGCTCTCGATAAAYCGCTGAAAGGAAAAGTGGGCTGCCCGAACAAAAACGAACCAGCCAAACGGAGTAGTAAAAATACAAGCAAAAAGAAAATAGCAATAAAATATCAAATAACCCAACATAAGACACTCCATTCCACTCCGATATTAAAGAAAAGCAATGAATGCATGTGAATACGGAACATTCGCCGATTATTCCCTACAACCAGACATTCGYCATTTGCTCTTATTTATATTTAGTCAAAATAAATGTGTACATGTGTCTCTGCAATCTATAACTGTAACAACTGTAACATGTCTTGCAACAGTAGCATTATTTCCATCTTCCACAGCTCTGTGCCCGTGGGTATTGTTGTCGGGTGGAGGCAAGTTGCCAAATAGCAAATGAATGACAGTAGTTTACTTGCTGTCCGTCCGTCCGTCCGCAGGAAGTGACTGTTGCCTCTGCGAAAAATCCATCCGTCTTTCAACCAAAGCATAAGCATTTGATTACATTTGGCTGGTGTGTAAGGAGCCTCGAGGATGCCATTTCCAATCTGCAGCAGTTGAAAGGAGCAGCAGACCGCCTTGGCAATACGCAAATTGGGAGGCAAAATGCTAAAATGCTGAAAAAAGCCAAACGCTGTCCTGCCATGTYATAAAAAGATCCAAATCAAATGTAGAAAAATCAAATTGGAATCGATGTGAATGATGGCACTCGCATACAGTTAAGAGAGCTGAAGCGGGTTAGGAAAAAAATATGAYAGGAACTAACTTCGACGTTCAAGTGCCAACACTTGGCGATGACAGTCATGCGAAAATTGTTAAAAACGACGGGGACGACGATGTGAGAAACTGATTGAATTTCGAGCTAACGAAGGTATTCCGTTCTAAAGTTGCTCTAGCTGATAAGGATAATCCATTCACTAAGGGCAGCGATGCATGACAACTGATAGCAGATAATAAAGAGCATGTCAATTTGCATATGTAAACATGTGTGCGTGTGTTTGTAAGTAGATACGTCTTCGTTTGCGTAGTTCCAATTGAATAAAATTACGAAAAATATTCAAATAATGACTATTTTTCAAATAAAAATGCCATTTTAATACCAAAAATAATGACATTTCCTATCTAATGCGTTCGAAGTTGACAAGTGACACGCAATTAATTTATTGGGTAGTAGTGTGCGAAAAAGATCAGGGTCCAAGCGTGGTGAAGCTCGACAAATGGTCGCAAAGCCAAGATTGACGTCTCGAAAGGTTATGCTGAGTATTTGGTGTGATTGGAAAGGAATCATCCACTATGAGCTGCTCCAGCCTGGTCAAACGATTGTTTATACATTTTACTGTCAGTAACTGATAAGATTAAAGCAAGCAATCGAAATTAACGGCCAGAATTGATCAACAGAAAGGGCTCCGTATTCCATCAGGACAACGCTAGACCACACACATCTTTGATGACTCGGCAAAAACTGGGAGAGCTTGGCTGGGAAGTTTTAATGCATCCACCACTTTGCACCATCGGACTACCATTTTGTTTCGGTCAACAAGAACTCCCTTAATGCAGTAAAGTTGGCTTCAGGAGAAGAAGAAAATGTCTTGTCGCAGTTTTTCGCCGATGGAATAATGTCTCTAGCGGAAAACCAAAATGGTTTTGGTTCAATAAAATTCATTTTAAAAATAAAAAATATATATATGTATATATATTTAAGTTTGATTAGAAGCACGAAAATAATTTGTCGAATACCGAATATTTCTTTGAAAGACCTTTGAAGAAGGGTTTCAGCGCAAATAACGCAAAGTAAACATATAAAAATAAGTTTGAGGTTATGACGACGCTGTACAAATTAAGAAATACTAAATTAGGAAAAACTTAGAACTTTCAAAATAAAACTGCAGTTTTAAAAGAATCTAGCCAACTGATTTATGGGATTCTATTGTAAATTTTTATGTTCGGAGACTATATTTTGGTACAAGATTTACTTTAGACCTTATACCAGCTAATTTCATTATTCTCTCTGTACCAGAATTTATTAAATTAGCCGCCTCCATTAGCAATGGTTTTACAGTCACCAGGACAAGCTTTTTGGAGATTAAAGATTCCCGACCCCACGAATTTTCAAAAGGGAGAAGCGGGATAAACGTTTACATTTGAGCATTTTCCCCTACTTCTCCTCACATCGACTTTTATGTATTTATGAAGCAACTATTAATTGCCCTAAGGGGAAATCTTCCAACAATTAACACTCGGCACATCAGCTCGTATGAGCAGTTAGATAAGTGAGCGTTCGCTTTTAATTAAATTCTCATAATACCTGAGCATACGCTCACACACACTCGTACACATACAAACATATACACACTAGTGATTTTCAACATTTCCCCCATTGACTTTGTTTTCACTCTGGCATTCAGCTGTCGCAAATCGTGCCACCACTGCATTTCCTCCTTCGGCATGACTAAAGAAGTTGCCAAGCGCACAACAATAAATATCTCAACAATTCCGGTATAAAATAACAGCAAGAACTAAAGTAAAAACATGAAAACAATTGCAACAAAGTAGGTGGGAGGTGTGCCGTTGGGATTTTGAGATTTCTGTCGTCATAGCTCCGTCATTTAGACGGGACAAGAGCGGCGTTGAGAGCGACAGCGAGAATTGGAACATCAGCAACAACAAAAGTGACAACACCGCAATGAGGTGTGACATTCTCAACAAAATGCCATTCACGCATACGCAACAACGACACACAACTTCCAAACACAATAAATAGGATTGTGGAGTTGTTTTTGTAGAACTTTTCATATGAAAACAAAACACAGTTGTGAATTCCGCAAACGGCAGAACCAGAGAAGGTTGATAGGCACAATTGCGTTGGCCGCGCGAGCCGGCATTTGTACAATAATGTTCCTTCACCTCTCTTCCAGTGTGTTTATGAAGAGGTACCCTTGCAATCGACAATTCTACCCCTCAGCGAGATAAGGATTTTATCATATGCATGTTTGAGGTGTACGAATATATAATTGCTTTAAACATGTACTTGTCAACACTTAGTCGGTTATAACGGGATTTTCAATAGGGATACTACAAAAGTAGAGCGATAGAGACAGCAAACGACGTCGTATTTTTTGCCGCTCTTTTGACACTCCTCTTCATTAAGGTTTGCCATTTTATCATGGAAAGATATACGATCCAACAATGAGTGGAAATTATTAAAATTTACTACCGAAAGTCGGAGTCAGTGGCCTCATTTTTAAGACCGATACGTTCAATTTATGGTCGTCATAATTGTTCTGTCAGATCAACAATTGCGCGTCTAGTGGAAAAATTTGAATCCATAGGCACAGTACAAAATGTTCCCGTGCCAGTGAGACAAAGAAGTGGCCGTAGTGTCGAGAATATTGCGCATCAATTGAGGAAGACCCAAATCAGTCTCTCACACGCCGTTCTCAAACGTTGGGCATCTCTGTGACGCTCTTGTGGCAAATTTTGCGGAAAGATCTTGGCCTACATCCTTACAAGATCAAATTCACGCAAGAACTGAAGTCGCTTGAACACCAGAATTGTCGTCTGTTTGTGAATTGGGGTGAGAAACAACTTGAAAATGATCTGTAGTTTCATCGAAAAATCATCTGCTGCGGTGAGGCTCATTTCTGGCGAATGGCTTCGTCAATAAGCAAAATATACGTTATTCRTCAGGCAGCAATCCACACGTACTCCATGAGTCACCATTGCATCCCGAAAAAATTACGGTTTGGTGCGGTTTATGAGGCGTACTTCTTCCGAGGATGGCACCACAAGCCACACAGCGAATGTCACAACCGATTCATTGAAAACCGAGTTTGGTGAACGTGTTATCTCACGAATTGGCCCAGTGAATTGGCCGCCTCGGTCGTGCGATTTGACGCCGTTAGACTATTTCCTGTGGGAAAGTCAAGTCAAGTCTAGGATCTATGCCAACAAGCCAGCAACGATTGATGAACTTCATACGAATATCGAACGTGAAATATTAGCATATTGGCCGATTTATGGGTGAAAAGCGTCGAAAATTGCGTTCAGCGTCTGGATTTATGCAACCGTGCCCGTGGTGACCATGCAAAAAAATTTGAGTTCCGCACAAAATGGCATCGAATGCACTTTCACAGGAATAAAGAAGTTTTTAGTGGCGCTCTTTTTGAAACACTCATTATTTAGTAAGAAAATGTCTGGAATTACGCGTTGAACGTGCTAATAAAATAACTTCAAATAATGCCTAGGGTTTCCTGAAGTAGTCAGTGTAAATGCTTTTATGACATTTTAGGGTCCTATTAAATTACCGGCCAGTGYGTCAAGTAGTTTTACTCAAAAGTGTTAAATAAACATGCGCATTAGGGTGGTACGGTTTTTTAGAATATTTTTTAAAATTATTATTCAAAAAAAAATATTTTCGTGGATCCCCTTGAAAAGTGTTTTCCTTCTTCTTCTTCTTGGGAAAGTTTACGAATCACAAAATCATCCGATTGCATTTTTTTATATTTTTTTTTTTCTGTCCGCACCCTAAACGCTTCCGCACTTGGCTTATCATCTCTTGCAACTGTGTCAATGGCAACGACGTGCTGTAAATGTATTTCATGCTCACGATTACGTAATTATCTACTCTTGTTTGCTTCATAAACTTTTTATCTTTGTGAAACTTAATTGTAGTGAGATATACATTATTTATTAAACGAAAAAAATGGTGGTRACATGCTTTAGAGTGGCATTTTCATTTCATTACTAGACATTACTGGACATTAGCGAGTAACGAGCTGTTAGATTTTGAATAGAATTTATGTACGGTATATATTACCGTTATGATTTGTACTTACGCTTCACAGTATGGCAGTTTGTTGAAGCCTTTGTATGTTTTCATATTCAATGCCATGCCACATTCTGTGCACTTGAAGCATGTCTTGTGCCATGTCTGAAAAAAATGCAGAAATTGCAATAAATKAATACACAGTTTAAAGAAAATTGGTAAATACTTAATTACAATTATAATTCGGACGTAAATATAAAACTGCAATTTATTCAGCAATAAAATACATAAAAGTAGAAAGTAATAAAAAACAGCTGAGCCAAGTAGAATGGACCCAGATTTACCCTCATCACACAGAAATAGAATARAATAGTTAATTTAGTGCAAATTATCAAGAAGTTTTATTGGACAAATTTAGTGTTTTTTCTTTGTCACCAATCTTTTACGTATACTATTGAAATTAACAGTTATTTGAGCAAATCTATAAACCGCTGCAAGAAGTGCATGTGAACATTATGAGYCAGAAAACTTGCTTACTCACCCTCGTACACACTACAAATACCACATGAGTCAGCAGTTTACACACACACACACGCATACTCACTAAAGTCGAGGTGTACGTTAGCAGCGGCTGGAWTGCAGRAAATCATAAACATTTTACAACGGAATACCTATGCGCAAATGGCTAACTGCGGAGTTTCACAACCGAGCGACGTGGCTGGCGCAAGCACACACAAAATAGAAGTCGTTCGGTGTAAATTTATGCAACCTAACACATGCACAACTRTATGCATACATACATACGAGCAAATGTAACTGTGTGTGCATGTGTTTAGGTAAATTCAAATGAGTTGAATGTAGGAATTTCCCCCGTGACTGACTAACTGCTGACAGCAACTAGTTATGATAGATTATTATTAAGCAAAATAGTTGATAAGAATATTTACAGCTACAATACCAATTGTATGTATACCCACAAGCTTGAAATTCCAAATCCAACCGTTAAATACTCTTTAGTGTCACACCATCACATTTGCTTCACACAAATTCAATTAGATTTTAATAATTTACACACGGTGCGTTGACGGTCACCTTAAAAGTTTTTCCCCACCATTGTGAAATGTACACAACTGTACAAATTATGAATATAAATGCCGCTTGAAACACAATCACACTTACATCGAAAATATTGTCGACAAGTTTCCACTACTAGGCCTTCAAAATCGTAATGCCATTCATAARCACATGCTTCTTGCAAGTGTAATTTGGTTCCAATTGGTCAGGTGGAAGGGACACCTTTTACACCTTGGTCGGATTCGACCTCTAGCGAGCTGTGTGCGTCTGGCACCCGGCCGCAGTCCGACTCCACACTGAACAGAATTTGCAATTATACCTGTCTTTTGGTTTAAACCACAGCCACCACGAGTCTCCCCAAAGAGCCAAAACCAATAAGCATATTAGAGCGARCTCCAAGTGCTAACTGCTCTCCGTGGTATCAGATTTAAATATGCGGTCAGACCTTGTAGTTGTTGCTGCTACCAGCTGGGCACACAACAAACTCAAATGTCTTTTCATTAAAAGGAAACTCTTTCAATAAATATGATATCAGTTCAAGCTGAATACCACCATATGAGGCAAAGTGTCATAAAAGARCGTTTAGAGCTCGCATTCGTCACAGGAAGTGTGCAGAATTAGCGAAGAAAGCTATGAATTACGTGGTAATGGTCTGTATCGCAGTTCTTCAACATTCCCAATGCAGTTTTCGGTAACTTGTCGTTTTTTGACTCTTGCTTGTGCTGCCAATGGCACTGCCAGTAACAAGTTCGCCTTTGAGCTGCAAACGTCGCACGATGTGGTCATTATCCAAAAGGCCTTTGAATCTGTCTATCAATAAGATTTCTATTGCTTTGGTTTTCAAAACACATACTTTTTCTGGAAGCAGCTAACTCAGTTCAAATCCATCCAATACTTCTCTATATACCGAGACCATGTAGTACTCTTCGCAAGTTCTCACGCAGCAATTTTCGAGTTTTATTTGTCGGCCGTAGATTCTTGCTTTTTCTTCGTCAACTTTCAGTTCTGCCGCAATTTTTTCGTGTCTGAATAAATGGATCGAAAATGTTCCTTAGCCTTTTGTCTTCGATTTCGGAACATTACAGGCAGCGTATCATATTTGATACCTTTGCCAGAACGATCGATTCTGCAATGAGTATCGGTGTTTGACTATATCTGACAAGACTATGCTGAAATTTCGAGGAAARCCAAATAACAGACGTAGTGATATTAAATTTTAGTCGCATCTTACGACAAGCATACCTTACCGCGGGCTACTTCTACCATTCGCATCAAWCATTTTTTGATTTTAAGTTGTACATATATAACTCTCCAAAAATAAGCACAATTTTCATTTTTTCAAAGCCTGTTTCCCATTTATTCGCAACGCTTTCGGAAATGTTACTTAGCTGCCTGTCCAAACACAGATATGTACATATAAATCCTGGATCGCTACAATTGTGTAGCTTCGACTGCCTTGGAACCACGCGTACTTTGCGTCTCTGAGTTCGCTGTGGGARATCAGCGCTGATTACTACCGTTATGCCGTTGCATATTGCGATTTTGCTAGTTAAATAGACTTTCGAACCAAATGAGGAATTTTCGACGGTCTTCTTTGCTGCGGCAGCCGCGCAACATAATTAAGCAGCAAACAAATGGAGTAAACACGAAGAAGAACCGCGAAAATGCAGATAAATTAAGGAATGAAAACACAAAAGAAATGATAAATAGCTTCATTAAGTAATGACCGCTACATCTGTACATCTTTAATTGCGAGTCAGCTAGCAWCGCCCCAAAACACGCACGCACACAMACACTAGACAATCCAGCTTATTAATGCGAGTAGCTTGGCGCGTACGCAGCTGCACGGAAATGCAATGCATTCAAATTAATTTGAYAACGGATGGACGCTGACGAGTASCAAACAGAAGCGCTGCATGCGCATATGTATGTGTATGTAGTAAATATTTACTTATGAATATACAGACGCATAGAAAACATTTACTTGCGGAAAATGTCACTTGGAGGCGCTTCTCCGTGGCTGCACGGACAACGGATGGGCTCAGCCCCTGTTTACGGCATTGCAGCGACATAACAAACTTTGACGGATGAACTGCATTTGCATGTGCTCGGCTACCGGCTACTGCTTACCGCATGTGTCCGTCAATCAYACGTTTAAGCGCTTATCCGCCGAAGTATTTTGCAGCAACAAAACGAAAAGTCCACATTTGTACATGGTGTTTGTATGTGCATGTGTGCGCAGAAGAGCAAAAACAAACATGCAAATAGGAGAAAAATAAATGCAATCCGAAGCCACCGCGAAAAAGCTCAAAGCAAAATTCAGCATCAGGGGCGAACATCGCTGCTCACTCATATATCACACACCTATGTATGTATGTATGTATGTAGTAAGTGTGTGTGCGGATGCCTAGTTGAAACGGAGCAAAGTGTACTGACGTATGTACCATTTCGCGGCGCGTGCAAACATACAACCGGGGTGTTGAGGTTGAAAATTACGCACCTTCCCGGTTGACCGCTCATCAGCATCTGACCGGCACGGCAGTGGCCCGCGCATGCACATACACACCTATACATTTACACGTATGAGTGCCATTACTTTTCGGGGTACGCCGCATCCATTCGCACGGGCATAATTTGCACGTCCGGCTGTTGGAAGCAAATATGGACAAAGAAGGGGGCGGCTGGGTGATACTGCGGTTGCGAGCGAAAACTTAAGCGCAGCAGGCCCTTTTACATCGATTGTGGTTTGTGCTTTTCATGTACAAGTTGGCAGCACTGCAGCAATGTTAGAGTCTTTAATATTCACATTAAAAGGAACACTAAGTTGTCTATTTTGAACTTAGTACTACTTAAGTCAACAGAAACTTTAAAGCTTAAGGAGGTATTCCAGTCTAGAAATAAAAGCTAATCGTTTTTATACTCTTGCAACCTTTTGCTACAGCGTATAATAGTTTTGTTCACTTAACGGTTGTGCGTGTCACCTAAAACCAACCGAGACAGATATAGAGTTRAATTCCGGTTGACGGCCTGTCTGTCTGTACGTCCGTTTGTCGATGCAGCCTGTAACTTGAGTAAAAATTAAGATACCTCGATGAAACTTGATATGTGGGTTCCTTAGTGCAAAGAAAAATTCGAGTTCGTAGTGGGACCGCTGCCACGCCCACAAAACACCATTAACCGAAAGCTTATAAAGTAAAGTAAACTCTAATTTAACACAGTAGCAGGGGCACCTGTGGACAAAATTTTTTACAAAGTGGGCGTGGAGGCGACCTCTAATAAGTTTAAGGTCCCTTAAACTACTTACACGACAGTAACCAAATTCGCCTAGCACAAATATTGTAAGAATTTCTACCGACACTGAGAAAATGGAGGAAATCGGGTTATAACCCCGCGCACTCCCCATATAACGGTACTGTTAAAAACTACTAAAAGCACGATAAATCAATAACTACACACATCTCGAGACTCGACCGGGATAAAATTTTGTACGAACA